GCACTGGGCCAAGCGCAAGATGTGTCAACATGCCTGGGAGTGTCAGACCAACTCCACCAAGCAGCAATTAAAGACATTTTAAGATGATTTAAAGCAAAATAGCTGAATAGGCATATATACAGTCACTAATAATATGATTTAATGTTTTTTTTTCTCACTTTTGATCAATAGGTGGCGCATTTACGAAATTGATGTGGTGTGGTCAGAGAGAGGTGACGATGACACATACAAAGTTTGCTCAATATGTCAAGGCACTGCAGAGATAAAGCCTGATCAATTTTAAGTTTCGTCTATCGACATGAAATCCAAAACATTGTGTTGGCACGGTCTGGAGATGATACGATTCGATTTTGGTGAAAATCGGACAAACGATCTAGGAGAAGTTTGGAAAAGTAGGTGTTGAATGAAATCAAGATGGTGGACAGGAAGTTTGGCTGACTATGGTAACATTGGTATCTATGTCATAACCCAAAGAATCTATTAAGACCATCTATTAAGACCAGTGTCATTACAATAGGCAAATATATTCAAAAGTTATTAGTATGTTTGGACATTTTGTACCACTTTTTTACTACTAGGTGGCGCTGCCCTGAAACTCTGGGTGGGAACAGAGTGTATCAAATTTGGTGAGCACATCTCATTTCGTTTTGGAGTTATAGATATATGTATAGACACAAAAAATGACACACACCAGACTTTGTTTGCATTTTCTTGCCACTTACTATTAAAGATTTAGCATCAGCCAATGAGATTGCGGATTTGCGCCCTTTTTCTTTTATGATTGGTTGCTGATAAAAAGGAAATGACCATATTTGGATCCGACAGCATTGTACAGGAGAGAGAGAGCTTTCTAACGGTGTGTGTGATGATAGGGTACAGATCACGGAGCAGTGGGATGATTTAGAATGCCAACTTTTGATGAATTTATGAGAAATCTACAAACGCAAACAGACAAAGTGTCGTAAAATATAGACCTAAAGTGTCTTTTCACCACAAGTCGGAAAGACATGTTATTGAAGACAAATATCCCAAAATCTCAAAATTGACCCGTGAAAAAAAACCAAAAACGTTTTTGCCTGCCGTGCCTCGCCTTAACCTCTAAATCACAACGCTACACAAACCGTAAGGTGAAACCTAGCATGTTTAGACTCTGCAAGGTGACTGAAAATTGGATGTCAACAGACAACAGTTTTTTTCGACAAACTGTTCAGAAGTTATAAGCAAAAATAATAGCCATATTTTTGTATTTCGGGACCAGTAGGTGGCGCTGTGCCAAAACGCAGCATGTTGCCTCAAGTCATGCTTGTGATGAAATGTACCAAGATTGGTCTGAATGCGATAAAGCGTTGTGGAGAGACAGCCTTAAGTGCTACGTAAAATTAGTTTGTGCCGTATTCGAGTTTGACCAATCCATAACTTTTTGTCACCATGGTCTGAATATGATCTGGTTCAATTTTCATGAAAATCGGAGCTACCGTCTTGGACGAATTTGAAAAAATATTCAGGTTCGGAAACTCAGGCCCTGTTTACACGAGAACGCTTGTGTGTGAAAACGTAAAAATATTTTATCGGATGTGGCTTTCGTTTACATGGCGATGGCGTTTTTGGGGCTTAAAAACGCAAAAAAGTGAAACCAGAGTGGAAATTTTAAAAACGCTCCACCGCCGCGTTCCGGTGTAAAAGGGTAAAAACGGGTAAAAACGCAAAAGTCTGCTTGACTGTGAAGGTTGTACGCAGGCGCGGACTTGGTGTTGTTGTGTAGCAGTGCTCCACATTGCCACCTAGCCGTCTGGAGTGCATACTACATAAAATTTTTACACACTTTTGCGTCGCCATATGCATACGGATTTCCCACCCAAAACGCTTGTGTAAATGCAGAATAAAAAGTGATAACGCAACGCCACTTTTGCGTTTTCTCTTCAGAATCATTTCCGTGTAAACATTGCCTTAGCGATGAAGTTGAAGCCATGCAATTGTGGTGGTTGTTTAGTTCTTGTCGTGTAAACTTTAGCTTTTGACTTCTTGTATGTACGCTTCAAAAAGTTGTGTTAATTTATGACAATGAAAACAATGTGTAAAAATCATAAGCTTTTTTTAGTCACAGACATTTTTTTTATGCAGTAATATAAAAGCCAATAGAAAAATCCTATTGGGTTTTTGTCAAGGGAACCTACAAAAATACGTCATCCCTGCACCTATGGGATCATAGGCAGTCTATAGTCAAAACTCGCATTTGGTCTGGCTCCATTTTGCTATAGAAAGCCAACTTTTCACACGTAGATCATATTATGGAAGTAAAATGGGTTTGAAAGGCTATTCACATTGACTTTAACAGCGATTATTGGCATCTATTACACATATAGCCACAAAATATATAGGAGAAACGCTTTTCAAACATGGTAGTTCAGGAGATATTACAGAAAACGATAAACGTGTTACAGATGAAAAATAAAAATAGCTGATTTTCCCTCCTCAGTGTGTTCGCTTATGTGGCTGTTTTGTTTGTGCTATTAATATGAATGAAGTCTTCCTGATTTGTTTTTCTCCTTTCTCCTCTCATGCTTTCATTTTGTGATGCTGTTTTTCTCTGTCTGTCGTCCTGCTCGCACCCTCCCTCCCCTCTTCCATCTCTGGTGGCAGGGGGGAACTTACAATGCATTTCACGTCCAAGAGGAAGTGTGTTGCTATGGTGGTTGCTAGGGATTTAGTCTGGAGTGACGCAAAAAGTCCGAATATTTAAGGTGTCCTTCTAACACAGGGATGTTTGAAGCCGCTCGGAATGAGCAATCACCTCTGAGGGTTGCATTTTCTCGCCTCTCTCTTTCATTATCATGTCTGCCTCTCTGGAAATATCACCATTGATTTTCAAAAACACAAAATCTCGGAGAGACAACATGCTATGCAAAAGAGCATGGCTTTCTAGTAAATACCTGAACATCACTATTCTACACCATCTCTGTATGAATCTGTGGTAGGAGTAAACATCATTTTGATGATGTAATCAGAATGTCGCCATTAAGAAAAGAATCCACAACACAAGGCAGTGAAAAAAGCTGGTTCCTAATGTTCTTTCCTCCCCTTCCTAATGGAGTGTTTCTCTGGTGCAGATTGTGTGCTTTAAGGATGTTCTTGGCCACGGGTAGCGAGGAAATAATTGATTGTGTTGAAGTGGAGTTGGCCGAGGCCACACTTGTCAGGATTGAGCAGGATTGTAGACAATCAGTGTTAACTAACTGTTCTCCTGAGACATTATTGAGGAAAGGGTCAAGTCAATGCGAGCGTGTCGTCATCTTCTCCTCTCACCAGCACTTGTGAACTCTTCCGTCTTCTTTCTTGTAAAACTTTCTTGTGAATTTTCTGCTTCCACAACAAAGCATTTCTCATGAAAGACGTGTCTTCAATTGCACACTCTCTGGGAGAATAGATGTTTTTCCCTGTCTTATTGAGTTCATTCTCTTTCGTCTCCGCATCGTTAGACGTGTTTATAGTACGTCTCTTTAGTGTTTTTCTAATCAACACTAGCTCTGATGTTTCTCCCAAACTCCTTTGGAAAAGAAAAAAAGAAAAGAAACAAATGTTGTCGATATACTGTAGGAAAAATGATTGTGGGTAGCAGCTCAGATGATTTGGTCTTGGATGAATTTGATGAGAAAATTTGTTAGAACTAGAAATGCCTGACTTTGCAATTTGGTATTTTAATGTTATATAAAATGTTTACACATATGTGTATGTATTGTATGTACGGTACATTTTTTTATAATGTAAGAGATAAAATAATAAGTTGTAGAAAATGTTTTTGAAAATGTTATTTAAAAACAAAAACTTATTGACTCCATCAATAACCATCAAGTTAAAAGTACTAGAATCCATGTTTACATAATTTTAAAGTTTTAAAATATATTTTCAAAGTAAGAAGTATATTTTTACGTAAGCGTTTTGCATTCACTCTGATTTAATGAGTTAATTATCTCAGAATTACAAGATCATTTTTCATGGAAAAAAGTTTTTGCTCTTTTTCTGAATTAGCGAGTTAATTATCTCAAAATTACGAGAGAATTTTTCATGGAAAAAAATCAGTTTGCTCTGTTTTTCTGAATTAATGAGTTAATTATCTCAGAATTACGAGATAAATTTTCATGGAAAAAATTTTTGCTTTGTTTTTCTGAATTAACAAGTTAATTAACTCAGAATTACAAGACATTTTTTTATGAATTACTTTCATTTTTCATTTCTGAATTGATGAGTTTTTGAGATAATCAAGTCATTAATTCAGAAAAAAAGAGTAAAAACTGTTTCCATGAAAAATTATCTTGTAATTCTGAGATAATTAACTCATTAATTTAGAAAAACAGCGTAAAAACTTTTTTTCCATGAAAAATTATCTTGTCACTCTGATATAATCAACTTGATAATTCAGAAAAACAGAGCAAAAACTTTTTTTCCATGAAAAAATATCTTGTAATTCTGAGATAATTAACTCGTTAAATCAGAAAAAAACAGAGCAAAAACTTTTTCCATGAAAAATTCTCGTAATTCTGAGATAATTAACTCGATAATTTAGAAAAAAGAGCAAAAGCTTTTTCCCATGAAAAATTGTCTCGTAATTCTGAGATAATTAACTCGATAATTCAGAAAAACAAAGCAAAAACTTTTTCCATGACAAATTATCTCATAATTCTGAGATAATTAACTATTAATTCAGAAAAAAACAGTATTATTTTTTCTTCAAGTGAATGCAATACGCTTCCGTATATTTTACAATCATGAATTAATTATTTTGAAGGGATTTGCATCACATGACTTTTACAACATGAACCAACCTTACCTTCTCATAAAACCTAATCATTCTATCTAATCTTTTTATGACCTGTCCTGTTTAATGATTGTCTCAATTTACTCTCCATTTATTTCCTGTCTTGCAGAAACAATTGAGCTAATGTAGAGACATTAATGGTCATTTTTCTTTCATAGTCTCATCGGATGCATGTCTTCCTCTTTAGGCTTCCGCTGATCTCACAGCCCTCAGAGGAACAAAGCTGTTGAAGACAGAGGTACGGCCACAATTCATACAGTTTTTGACACTCAACGCTCTTAATTTTTTTGTCCTTAGACCTTGGTGCCCAAATAATTCTAATAACTCATTCATGCGATTATGACAGACATCTAAAAACTTTGCGAACCTGATATGGAACCTACAATAATAGTTCACCCAAAAATGAAAAAGTATCATATTGTATGACTTTCTTTCTTCAGTGAAACACAAAATGTCTGTTTTTTTTTGTCCATACAACCAAAATCAATAAGGACCCTACTGCCATTAAACCAATCTTCAAAATACCCTCCTTTGTGTTATGCAGAAGAAAGAACATCATGCAGGTTTGGGGAGTAAATGATCATTTTTGGGAGAACTATCCCTTAAAGTCTCTACAGCCAATTGAAAAGACTCTACTTCTATCCCTTACAACCTTGGTTTCATGCATCTCAAATGAATGGTGTGTACCCTCAAGCACATTCATAAAGCAATGCTAAAGTCTACAATCTGGTTGGTAACCTATGATGGTTATATCGTCCCAAGAACCCTGATGTCTGCGGAACACCATTTCCCCAGCAGTCTGACTGTGCAATGTATTGACAGGTGAAAGACTGTTAGTGTATACATTTTACATGCACATCTGTTTAGGAGGAAGATCAATAGAAGGTTAAATGACCAGGCCCTCTTCGCCACCACAGGCCCAGTGAGAGCTAGAGGGAGTAGCCTTTCGAAATCCCCCCCCCCCCCCCCTCCTCTTTTTCAGCCATCACACATCCTCAGCTTAGTTAGCCTGGGAAAGAGCCCCAAACCCGATCAATAACTTTGGTCTTGTCTGCCTAATTGCTCATTGGTTGACATTGGCACCCGACTATATGTAAGTGCATGTTCCTGGAGTGATTCACTCTTCCCTTCCCTCTCTCTCCACCTCCCTCTCTTTCCTCTCAAAAACCCCTCACGCCCTCCATTCCTTCCTCACCGCCACGTTCGGGATGTGAAACCCGAACCGCAGTTGTCACGTCGGGACGCGAGCATCCAAAGACTCCGGCAAGACCTGCTCCTCTCTCATCAGGCCCGTGACGCCCAAAGCGTTCAGGTAAATAAGCTCCGCTAATGACCATTAGGCAGATAAGACTCTCTCGTGCGCCTGCTATGCAGATCCGCGACAGGAAATTACCTTTTTTTTTCTTCTTCTTTCTGCTCCCACGACCACCCCCCCCCCACCCCCCTCCCCTGCGTCGATGATTACCGTCCCTTCAAGTCTTAAGTGTGGAGTGTTTGCATAGCGCTCTGATTATTCTTACAGCATCCTGCATGAATAAACAAATGCATGACGGCGCATACCACGCCACCGCCAATGCGTATGGCTACATGTTCTTTGTGTACGGAAATATCATTAGCGTTCGTCTCAGCCGGACGTGTTGATTACGGCAGAGCTATTTGCATTTCATTTAGCGGCATCACCCCTCTCTCTGGATTCAAATGCGATATTGATCAGTCAGTCTTGGGAGCTGAAAATAAAACAATGATGTTGGTCCTGAGCGTCACATGCGTTTCAACCTTTGTTTTTACATATAAACAAACAGTTATGGTTACTATTTGAAGGTATGATCCATTTTTCAGCCACTAGAAGCGTTTTGCTATTCCTTTCAGCTTTTTTTCCAGTTGTAGTGTGCTAATGTCATGATTTAAATGAAGTATTGATCAGTTTAGGAGGGGAGAATGGAGAGAGAGCGCAATTGTAAGGCAAAGAAAGAGCAGGGTTATCGGCTTGCATCACACACCGAAAAGCAGAGCAAAAGGATGAGCTGGGTTTTTAGGATTAAAGGGAAACGATTCTCATTCTTCCCTCATCGTTTTAGTCTACAATCTGGCAGGAATCCGAGCGTTCGCCTTGCCAACGGACGGATGAGAGGACGAGGCAAGGTTTGAAGTGCTTGTCACCAGACCACAATCAATGGGTAAAGCGAGGGGCGACCGTTTGATTTAGGTGACTTAGGCGAATTTGTGGATTACTCTTGGGCCTCTAATGAGTGCGGCTGATTAATTGATCGTTGCGGGGCCTCCATTTTGGATATGTGGCTGTCATCGGGCGACAATTTGAAATGCAGATGAGGATGCTTGATGATGTCGGACTGGACCGGAACAAGGGGTTTGCCAAACCTCCTCCTCCTCCTTTCTCCTTTTCTTGACTCCCATCTTCCCCGCCTCTCCGTTCTCTTTCGCAGGTGACCATATTGTGCTGATTGCAATCAGAATTATTTGTTTTTGACGTGACGTGGTGGGCCTACTAATAACTTTTTGTTGCAATGGATTGACGTGTCGCAATGGTGGAGTAACCGAAGATTTGCCTGCAGAAGTATTGCTTGTTCACAATGAGCTGCGATTTCGCATTTGTTTAAGAAGCATTGATTTTTGGGCTGTCTAGAGTGTCTGGGTGTATGTGAAGGGTTGAACCGCTCAAGGTTGTTTGGGATGCGATGAGGGCCAGGCGGACACCGGTTCCTCTTTGCCGGAGCTCTAGTTCTGCGAAACGGGCAGGCGAGCAGAGAAGGAGACTCTTTGTAGTGGATTGATTTTCTCTTCCTCTCCGCCCTGCCCTCTATTGTGGTTGGATAGCTGGACGTCCAAGAGCAGAGGCTGTGGGATCTGCAGAGAGAGCTGCAAGAAAGCCAGCAGGAGCTCCAGAGGGGACACGACCGCAACCGGCAGCTTCACGGGCAGCTGCAAGATGCCAGGAAGAAAGATCAGGAGCTACAAGCTCAGGTAAAAACATCACGGCCAGGCCCATGCTGCTCAGGCCCTCTTTCCCTCTCTCTCTTTTTCCCCCTCTCGCTTTTGTTTTGGACAAGATACTTTAATCTCAGACCACTGCGTTTGCAGTCATTAGTGTATTTTTTCTCTTCTTCTAAGAAGGATGATTTCACATTCGAAGAATAGCTGTAATTATAACGATTTGGCTTGTGCTGTTACACACAAATCTTACCAAGAGCAAATGTTCAGTCACGGATGATTTTGAAAAGGCTTTGAGGGAAAGAAAATTAAAAAAAAAAAAAAAACTGTACGCGAAATGATCCCAATCCAAGCTGCTACAGTACAATGAACTGAACGCTTCTGTTGTTTTCATACATTACAATGGTACTTGTTGTAATGATAGCGGCTTTTGAGTGGCAGTTGTTACTTTGACATGAGGACGATTGTTTTGACTTGCACATGGTGGTACAATGGTTAAAATGCAGTTGTTTTGGGTCTGAAATCTGTTGTTTTTATGTTATTCCATGTTTGCTGTAGACCGTGCAGTACATGTGTTGAACAGCTGGCTGCTGGACTGAAGTGAGAGTGGTTTGAGACAGGTGTTTGCCCCTCCCCTGTTGAGGTGAGGAGGGTCTCACAATTTTTTCTTGCCAGATGCCAGGGAACATGATCCCAGAGAAGACATTTACTAGCAGAGGAAAAATGCAGATAGATACTTAAAGGGATACTCTTTTTTTTTTTTTGGAAATAGGCTCATTTTACAACTCCCACAGTTGAGTTTTACCGTTTTCAAATCCATTCAGCCGCTTATCTGATATTTAGAAGAATATCAGTAACCAGACAGTTTCTGGTCTCATCGACTTCTATAGTAGGAAAAAAATATACTATGGAAGTCAATGGGACCAGAAACTGTCTGGTTACTGATATTCTTCTAAATATCAAAAAATCAGCCGAATACATTCGAAAATGGTAAAACCCAACTGTTTTACTCTGGGGGAGTGGTAAAATGAGTCTATTTCCAAAAAAATGGTAAGAAAAAAATATACTATGGAAGTCAATGGGACCAGAAACTGTCTGGTTACTGATATTCTTCTAAATATCAAAAAATCGGCTGAATACATTCGAAAACGGTAAAACCCAACTGTTTATCTGGGGAAGTGGTAAAATGAGCCTATTTCCAAAACAATAGTAGGAAAAAAATATACTTTGGAAGTCAATGGGACCAGAAATTGTGTGGTTACGGATATTCTTCTAAATATCAAAAACTCAGCTGAATACATTCGAAAACGGTAAAACCCAACTGTTTAACTCTGGGGGGGTGGTAAAATGAGCCTATTTCCAAAAAAAAAAAAAGTGGAGTATCCCTTTAAAACACGACACAAAACCCAGCCCGCTAAACCCATGTATCAACTTTTATCTAAGATATTTCTCAAAGGAGTCACAAGTGTGTGTGATCTTGTTAGAATTTGATGAGAATGATGAGAATTCAGGTTGACTTTGGAATCTTCGTAAATCCAAGTGAACTCATTTTAGAGATCTCTACTGAATATTGTTATTTTTCTTTCTGTTAGGTTGTAAAATGTAATATATGCATCATTGAAATGCATTGAAAACTGTTTGTGATATTAGACATGTTGCTACAAGCTAGTGTTTGCTGCAGTGAGACTCTCAGCCCTCCCCTCTTGAATCGGACAGCTGACCAATCGGAGCTCAGGCCAGTGCTGTCCGTCACCAGTGGCTGTGTCACCTGTCGCTAGGCGTCATGGCAGACTTGTTAGGGGAGCTCTACACTGATTGCTGAGAGAACAACTTCACACTCGCAGTGCCCTTGTTTACCAACACTCACACATATAAGTTCACAGCCCTTTTACGCTCCAGCTTGTTTGTTATCGTGTGAGGCACCTTTATTATCTCTATGTTCACAGCTTCAAACTCTTTTAAATTAGATTCATTACTTTGTGAGACTGAATTAAAGTGTAATATTTTCTAGAAGTATTTTATTCTTCTTCATGATTCAGTGATATGATAGTGCTATTGCACTTTATACTGGCACCTATTGGTGTGGATCACGGTTTTGTTTACCAATGGCATTTGAAATATCGTATTCACAGGCATGTGGCTGATTCAGTTACTCTGTAGCTGGGGAGAACTATCTGGATGTTTAGTTCCATATTGTCCTGAGAAATTTGACCAAAAAAATCAAGTTGTTTTTATCATTGTTTGATACTACTGGCGTTCGCTTAACATTTCTACCGTAAAAAGTGTTTAACTACTTACATCTTACTAATTCACTGTTAAAAGTGAAGTGTCACACTGAAGAGTACATGAAGTGTAAATTATTATAGGTGGATTTGCCCTGCTCTTTGTTTGGGGTGGTTATGGCCTTGGTTTGCGATGTGCGTTTTTGTCCACTTGAGAATGTGGTTGAAGTAAAGTAATCTCAAAACATTTAGAGCCCAATTTATATATATGTTTAGCAGCATTATACCTTTTTAAAGTGACCTGAAGAGGATGTTAATATCAGCTCTAAAAAAAGCCAGAGGATGTAACGCTCTGATCATGCGATCCACTTTATGTAGATTAAAACAGCTATTCTAGGCCACTTGCCTTCAAGTGCACATGATCTGTCAAAAGTATTTATTGCTTTAGTGTAAAATAATTGCATACTATGAGAGCTATATGAAGTGTGTCTGCTCTCGGAGGTGAAAGGGAATCTGGTGAAGGTGTCGGTGGAGAATGAAGCTCTTATGGAAATGAAACGGCACCAGGCCACTGAGTACCATTGTTGATGTCAAATATTCACTAAAAAAATGAGCATTTATCATAATATGGAAATATGTATTGCATGTAAGCTCTTCCATCATAATTCAAGAATTTAGGAGCTATATCTGCATGATTAGAAAATAAGTGCTTGAGATGTTATTAAGAGGACCGCATAATGATCTTTAAAGCTGCCTTGCTTTATAGGTTCCAAGTTGGTTCTTTCATTTAGTTTGTTACCACGAGAATAGTAAATACTAGTTTGATATTAGGTGCAACTTACATATATCATACCTTTCATATAGTCCGAGATCTTTCTAGCTTGTTTGTGCAGCGGTGTGCTTGTGCTCTCTCTCCCTAATTAACCTGTATGGCCGTGGATCTGAGCTCTAGCAGATGTCTCTCTCTAGGGGGCTGGGTTTTATATTGGAGTTATACATAGCCATGGCTGAGGGGCTGCTGAGAAAAGGTCAGGCCTTGGTGAGCGGGTTTGATTATAGCTGGGAAATAAGTGTTCCACGGGGCTGATTGCAAGGAGGTCACCTCCACCAAGGGTCAGATCGAATGAGTGTGTCTTTACGTATGTGCCCTTAAAAGAAGATTCTATTGCATTATGTTTCTCGTGTCTGGCGCCGCCCTGCAGGTGGACAGAGTATCTGCGGAGCTTAGTTTGGTCCGGTCCACGGTGTTCGAAAAGTGCAAAGAGGCCCAAGAAACTAGGAAGAAATGTTCGAGCCCAGCTGAGCCGGAGCCAGGATGGGATGCAGGATGCCCAAAGCACATTGAGATTGGATAATTCACAATTTACAAATAGAGTCACACTGATGGTGCCTACTATATATACAGTATAGAGAGTAGATGCACCTGTACTAGGAATGGAAATACATTCAAAGTCCTGTTGTGGTGCCATACATATTTTTATTGTTAACTAAAACCATTAAAAAATTTTGTTTCTTGAAACAAAATAACTTAAAACTATATATATATATATATATATATATATATATATACCATTAAAAAATACTATTAGAAAAATGTATACCATTAAAAAATAACTTAAAATTTTATATATATATATATATATTAGCTCAAAATACCCCACATTTTGATGCGCCGTTCTTTTTTTCTTTTCTTTTTTTTCTGTGTGTGTGTGTGAGTCCCTTTAAATGCAAATAATATGATGCTGCTCCTGGCACAAAGGGCGGAGCTTCAACAGCTCCAGTGTTAGCGATTACCTTGCACAGACATGCACTGAAAAGTTCAACAACTTTTAGCCTTTTATGTTCAAACCGGAGTCAGACAAAGATGGAGAGACTTGAGAAGTAGTGACAACATGTAGAAAGCAACAGGACATTTCTGAATGGTTAGTTGATGAATTTCTGTAGCTGATGTAGAGTTAACTATCTTCTAGTCATTGATTAGCATATTATGTCATGATAATCTATAAATCGCGTTCCCAGGGGCGGGGTTTATGTAAATTTTAGGGTTAATAATGTCACTAACCTGTGGAAGAACCTCATTGTAGTCCCTACCAACCGTTTGTTGTAGTCCTTAAAAAGCAATTTCTGTAAAAGAAAATATCTCCCGGCCTTTGCTTTGAACTTTGAGCATTGTAACTTTGCAGATGTTTATGCGCAAACAGCAACATTACACTCTTACTAAAGAAAAGACAAATCATAACAACCACCCATTTACCTTGAAGTACTTAAACTCAAACTAAAAGTGAAAACTGAAAAAAAAAATCTAATTTAAAATATTAACAAAAACTATAATGTATAGAAATATAATAAAATACCACTGGTACCATGGTGCAGTGATGCTATCAGCTGGTGATACCATAGTACTGAATGATAAATATTCATAAACCATAGTATATACATAGTATTCCAGGGTACTTCAGTGAATACCATAGGATATATCCAAGAAGCCATGGAAATACTGTAGTACTTGTTTGTATGTCAAACAAGTTTCTTACAGTTTCTGTCATTCATATTCCATCTGCTGCTTTCTCATTGGCTCTCACCTCTCTGTAATGTCACACAGTCTGGGAGTCATTACTGCAGCTAATGCTATTCTGTTTATCCAGTTGACCTCTATTCATTTTCCTGAGATGTCTTAAGCAATTCTACAGACTTGGAATAGTTTTTTTGTTCCATTTTTTTTTTCTGAACACACATTATAAGACAGATGCTTAAGCAAAAAATATCAACAGACAGAGGACAGTTGTTACGCTTACAAGTATGCTTTTATGTTCTTGAATTGTATTTTGATTTTATTCATGCTAATGAAACTCCTTCAGTTGTACTTGCCCCACTCCGAGCAGGATTCGAACGTGTGTTTTGGAATGGGACGGTAAAAATCGCAGCCTCTAACGCACCTCTTGAGGCCAAGGGAGTGAGGTTTACTTGCACTGCTGGCCTCTGTTACACTCAACCCCGCTAAACCTCACTCCTACCCTAAGTCACGACATCAATATAACCCCTCTGGTTCTACTCGCCCCACTCTTGAGCGGGATTCGAACATACGTTTCCAGCATGAGAGGCGGGCGTGTTAACATGGATGATATAAAAAACACAGTTTCTAGACGCTAGCATCTAGACGCTTGAGACCAAGGGAGTGAGGTTTACTTGCACAGCTCTTACTAGCTAGCCCCCACTACTCTAATTTTACAATAAAATTAGTTGAAAAAAGTTTGGTATATTAACATTTACAGGCCAGTAGTTAAATTATAAATTTGTGTTCTAAAATGTGTGTATTTTTTCCATAAGGGCTGAATTTTATATTGAATGGAATAGTCTATGGCAGAAAGCTTTTGAGGTCCTTGTCAGGATATCAGTGAGAGTTCATGTGTGCTTTGTTCTTGTTCTCTGTGACTATTATCTTTTGTTCATGATCTAGTGCCTTAATCAAATTTCCTCTATTGAGAAGCATAGTATTTTTCAGCATTTCCTGCAAAGAATCAGACCTAAAATGTGTACACATGGACATCATTGTTTCCTTCAAGGCATAACTCAGCCTGAAATGAAAATGTGTTCATTATTTCTCATGACGTCCCAAACTTAATTTCTTCTGTGGAACATAAAAGGACGTGTTTTTTTTAACAATCCTACCGTGACTAGCTCGAAAATGTCTAAAAGGCACCATAAAAGTGGTCCAAAAGTCCTTTACTCACTTTATATTCCAATTTTTTTAAAGCCATATAATAGCATGATGAGAGGGACAGAGCAAAATTCAGTCATCGTAAATCAAACCTCATATTTATATGACATACAAGTGTCTGTTTACACTTGAAACGCGAGATGGATTTATGTATTTGGGGGTTGAAGGCATGCAAATTCTACTCATCCCAAAATGTTAAAAAATAAGTGTGTGAGAGCATTATTGGAGATGTTATATGATGTGATATGTTATAGCCAGATATGACAGGTCTAGTGCAACACGCATAGCCGCAGATTCAATTAAATTAAATTGAAAATTTAAAGTTTAAATTAAAGTCACATGGACTACTTTATGGTTTTTTCCTTTTTTTGGAAAGAAAGAAATAGTTTAGAAATGCATTATGGTGAGTACATACGATAATTTAGTTAAGCTTTACTTGAAGGTGTCCTTGTTACAATGTATTTAATGTATTTAAGTACACTAATTACTATAGGGTTAGAGTTTGTTGCCGTTAATTATGCATTGTTTTCTGTTATTACATGTAACAAAGACACTGTTAAATATAGAGTTACCAAGAATATATATTTTTTGAGTGATTCATCCCTTTTAAAATCATTATTTCTCCAATGCACAGCTGGATAGTTTGCTTTTCGAAAGAACTTCACATCTGAGACTTCCACGCTCTGAACGGCCATGATTTTCACATAGAAATGAAGCTGCGTGTGATTGAAACTGTGGCAGCATTATTACTCACCGGTGGCTCTGTGAGTGTGTATGTGTTGGTCTTGTGTGTTTTAATGACGCATACATCCTTTATCTGCAGACTGCACTTAATCCCAGCACTGCTGGCTCAGGAACAGATTACTGACAGCAGATGTGATGAGAGCAGAGCAGAGAACCTGACACACACACACCTCCGCTTCTCATTATGACTGAACAGTGCAGCCATTTTCTCACTGCTTTGTTTGTTCTGAGCTACCATCTTTGCTCGGGTTATTGTCTCCTTCTTGAAACATTTCTGTGTTTGATGGTAAACATTTGTGATGTGAATTTCATGATCTTTGTGCATGTGTGTGTTCACAGGCTGAGCAGATACAGTGGCTGGAGGAGAAAGTGTCCAGGCTGAAATCTCAGCATAGTTCAGTCTGTCAGCAGGTAACTGTCTTTACTACCCCACACTTTTTCCACTTTTATAACCCTTTCTCCAAAATTTGACCGAAATTTCTGGGTTTCTGGGTTTTCACTGTTATACAGTAGGGGACGCTTTTATGCATCTTCTGAAAGAGGAAAAATACAATAAAAATATATTTTTAATAAAATAAAAAAAAAAACACAAGAAAATACTAGAAAAATATTAAAGTAAAAAAAAACAAAACATGTATTAGTGCAACTTTCATGAAGTAAATTCACTAAAAGCCTTCCTTCCGCTAGAAAAAAAATAGTCCCTGACCGCGAACAGCAACAATGTTCCAATGTGTAACATGCATGAAAGCTCAAATAAAAAAACACATAGGAACTGCAGTGTTGCGCAGTGATAAATAGAACCGTTTAGGTGAAGCGGTCATAGCCGTGTTTTATCATGAATGATGCACCAATCAGAATCAAGGATTGGAACTAACCGTTTTATAATTAGATATATTGCATGTTCAGATATTCTTATAACCTATATATAACCTTATAATTCTTATACCGAACCTAAAGGCATAGCCATAGAGATACGTTCATAACCTGATTAGGCTGCTTTTATTACGTATATTTTGCAATGGAACTTACCGAACATCCGAAACATTGCTGTATGCTGGGCTAAATGAGCTCATTGTATGTGGATATCCTACATTTGATGATATTTTCACCCGCTGAGAACTCGTGAATAGCTTATAAAATATGTAAAGGAGTCAAAACAGTGGCAGTAATCCCTCCGTCACAAACGCAAACCAAGATTGCTGTGATCCTGTACTGAACTGGTTTAAGCAATAACAAGGAAAATCAGGTATGCTTGAGCATTCTGTCCTTTTTTGTGTGTGTGTGTTCACATTCCATTCGAATCGCACCAGAGTCCGTTTTGAAGCAGACAGTGACCCATCTTTTCAGTGATCTCTCAATTTCTCATTAATGCAATTATCGAATCAACTAATCACATGGCAGTAGCTTAAATGCATTTAGGGGTGTGGTCCTGGTCAAGACAATCTCCTGAATTCCAAACTGAATGTCAGAATGGGAAAGAGGTGATTTAAGCAATTTTGAGCTTGGCATGGTTGTTGATGCCATACGGGCCAGTCTGAGTATTTCACAATCTGTTCAGTTGGCAGAACCATTTTACAGTTGAAGACTGGAAAAATGTTGCCTGGTCTGATGAGTCTCGATTTCTGTTGAGACATTCAGATGGTAGAGTCAGAATTTGCCGTAAACAGAATGAGAACATGGATCCATCATGCCTTGTTACCACTGTGCAGGCTGGTGGTGGTGGTGTAATGGTGTGTGGGATGTTTTCTTGGCACACTTTAGGCCCCTTAGTGCCAATTGTGTATCGTTTAAATGCCACGGCCTACCTGAGCATTGTTTCTGTCCTTATCCATCCCTTTATGGCCACCATGTCCCCATCCTCTGATGGCTACTCCCAGCAGAATAACGCACCATGTCACAAAGCTTGAATCATTTCAAATCGGTTTCTTGAACATGACAATGAGTTCACTGTACTAAAATGGCCCCCACAGTCACCAGATTTCAACCCAATAGAGCATCTTTGGGATGTGGTGGAACGGGAGCTTCGTGCCCTGGATGTGCATCCCACAAATCTCCATCAACTGCAAGATGCTATCCTATCAATTTGGGCCAACATTTCTAAAGAATGCCTTGTTGAATCAATGCCACGTAGAATTAAGGCAGTTCTGAAGGCGAAAGGGGGTCAAACACTGTATTAGTATGGTGTTCCTGATAATTCTTTAGGTGAGTGTATAATTTTAATATAGTAAAAGTTTGATCAGTGCTCAGTTCTTTTTGGAAGCTCTTAAAAGTGCAAAATGGATATTTTCCCTGTCTGCTGCATTCCTTGTCACAGCTGAGGATAGTCTCTAGTGAAGTGTTTGGGACAGTGCACATTCTTGTGGTGTCAACAGCCATCAGCAAAGTTATCCAAACTATCCATTGAACATTTTGTACTTAATAATCAAGTTTACCCTTTATTTTGATGGAACTTTGCAACTACATGTCAACTCACTCTCATTAGACGATTATTAGACAGTAGTAGGCTGTTAGGTGTTAGGGTTAGTAGTTACTATGTACTTGTACTTACAACGTTACATATAGTCAGTAAAATGTGTATTGGGGGAGCATCAAAATATTTTTTAGCAGATTTTAAGCAGTCATTTAGCAGTCATTGTTTTCCTGTGTATATTGTTTGAATGACGGTGGTTGGCCAGATATTGTGTTTTGCGGTAGGTGGTATGCCATACGGAACCATTGCCACTGAAACTGCATACGCAACAGTGGGGCTCGACAGCCTTAGTCAAACGGGTTGGTGCGTATGGTTGGGTTGTGGAGATTGTGAGATTGTGGTTAGATCTCAGCAGCAGGAGGAATGTGGAGGTCAGTAAGCTGGGCTTGAGTCGGGGATGGAGGGAGTCACTGTCGAGCCCTCTTGAGGTGTCGTGGGCTAGTCGACGAAACACTGAGGATGGAAGGTGCCCACTTGAAGACCCTAGATATGTCCCCCACTCAGCTCAATCCAGACGGTTGTCGTGCTCGTCCACTAGGGAGAGCACACTGTAGTTGCAGCCTAACCGTTACTATTTTTTACTTAAATACTCATTCATGTAAGTCACTTACATGAATTACATAAATGAGTGTTTAAGTAAAAAATGTATGGCATATTAATACAATGAACATGTTCTAAAACATTTTCAAATAAAAAAAAATATGTAAAATACGTCAGATACACTTTTTTGTTGCTTTATTCAATACAGTTTGATCTCAGATAGGTATTTTGGCACCATTGGATAGAGCTCATCTAGACCTTTATTTTGATATAAAATACTCATATTCGCCCAAAATGCCACTTACACCCCTCTGGCTCCAGGCCCTCGTGGTTCGTTAAAGTCACAGTGCCCTATTTTAACGATCTAAGCATATGGTCTAAAGCACAGGGCTCAAGTGCACTTAGGGCATGTCCGAATCCACTTTTGCTAGTTTAACGGCGGGAAAAATGGTCGGCACGCACATGCTCTAAAAGGGTTTTCTCTAATCCTTTAATGAGTAGTGGGTGTGTTTTGGGCGTAACTTGGAATAAACCGACATAGTGCTGCTTTAAATAACGTAGCGCAGGACGTGAAAATGATAACTGCGTCAGGCTGAAACTAGCAAAAAAACACTTGCGTCGTGCCTGGTACCGTATTGCGCCTGGCCCACAATAATGATGTGGTTTTATGTTGTAAAACGGACCTACTCTTCTCCTACACACTCAATGTCATTTTTACATAGTTTATGTAGGCGAATTGGGATCCAACACAATTAGAGACTAAAAGTTCAATGTTCCAAACTTTACATCGCTAACTTCAGGGTGAAAGTATTGGCAGAATTGTACCTGAATGTCCCACATCAGGTGTCCCCACCAATGGAGAAATTTTGAATTTTGTTGTTGTTTTTTTCTCCATTGGGTCACCTGATGGAGTTTTAGGACACCAGTCGGTCGGTTGATGGAGTTTTTCGGTTCCTTGCCACTGTTGCCTTTGGCTTGATAAGTTGGGGATAATCAAATTTGTTAACCAATCATTAATACCATTGATCAGCTCTACCAAACGTGGATGTTTTTCCACTAAGAAACGGACACTGATATTTTGTTTTGATTGATACTGTGAAGCTGCTTTGCAATATATATTGTGAAAAGCGCTACACTCTTAGAAGAAAAGGTTCTATATAGAACCTTAAAAGGTTCTATCAGCTCTATGTATTTGGAACCCCTAAAAGGTTCTACACACTCTTAAAAAAAGGGTTCCTCTGGGTTCTATCCACAAGTTTCCTACGCCCCATGAGGCCTTGCGTCAAAAGTGGGCGCGACTTCTGGTTGGAAGTAAACAAAGCGCGACTTGACATGCTTGACACTCGTTCATTCAAGAGTTGACAGTCATTCAAGTTATAGCGATCCAAACTAGCTAACGATGTGGGAACACAACCTAAATGAAATTCAAAAGGGTGAAATAACAGTACCTTTACCCTACGCAGTAGTTGATTGGGAGTATTATAATAACATTATTAATAATCAATACTCATCAAGGCATGGTGACAGACAGTTGTGCGAGCTGACAAACAATTAAAATAAAAAATACACACTTAGTCATTGTGCTTTGAAGTTTATTCAAAATTATAAATGAATGTGCTACTTGAATACATTAACTGGCACATTTGGTATTCTGTCAACACATGCTTTGATCCTGAGTTTAGGTGTAACATCAGTAGCGAACAGCCAATCACATGCTGATTGAGTTTATAGAATATTAAGAATTTAAACAAATGTACACAGGAAGATTCGTCGTCTTTTGGGAGGTGATGGAAACTATAGTCGTTGGCAGGATCAGAGACGGGCTCTGGCAGGATCACTCTGATTTCGTTTTCAGCTTTTGTTCAAAACACGTTAAGCCACTGAAAATTAGTTTAGTCCGGTTATACATACAACCGCGAACAGCACATGTTGTCCCTGAGCTCCGTAACGACATCTCTCATAAAGATTTGCGTCTTTAAATAGTAAAATAATCTCCGAAAAACAGCTAGCCTCTTCGCTAACTAACACACAAAATACCATTGGAATGCTACTTCCGCCGCCTCCCCGGAAGTTTCACCCACTTTATTTTTTACAGGAGCGCCCCTCGGAAACTTGTGGATATATTCCATACTTGGCCAATAGAACCTTTTACCAAAAAAAAAAAAAAAAAGGTTCTATATAGAACCATTTTGGAGTTCCATATATGAAGCGGGGGATGGAACCATTTCTGGTAAGAGTATATATATATAAATATACTTGACTTGACTTGACATGAGCACTATAGCACTAACTGCTAAACCATGGTTGAAACTGCCCCCCCCCCCTTCTTCTTATTCTTCTTTCTATTCTTTGCGTCTCACTGGTTGTGTCTCCGTAACCCTCTTGGGGAAGCTGTAGGGAC